TGAACTAGATTAAAGGTAAGTACTTCACCATAGATGAAGATTGGATTTAAGGGCAGGGATATTTCAAACAATGACGTAGAACCGGCAGAATACAAATACTGGCGCTTTGCAAAGACTGGAAAACCCTTTTTACTTGCAAAATCGTTTTTAACGTAAAATAACATCAAACGAAGGCTACATGAAGATCGTGCGTGCGTGCGTGAAGTTATAAATAACTAGCGGCTCACCCTCGCTTCGCTCGGGTTCACCTCTAGAAAAGCACAAACAGATCTATCCCACGGGAACCGTTCATTTTTTCCGGAATGATAAATTTTCCAGATGCAAAGTAACCTGTTGTTTGACCGGCAATATAAGGTATCAGCATGCCAAATTTTACAAAATTAGGAGGATAAGTTGTTGTGTACTAAGCTGTATACGTTACTATAGTTTTTTAACTATCCCACGGAAACTCTTTAATTTTCTGGAATGAAAAGTATCTTAGATGTTGACCGGGGATATGAGGTCATGCAATGCCATGCAATGCCATGCAAAATTTCATTTAAATCGGTTCAATAGTTTTGGAGATTAGCCCGTACAAACAAACAGACAAAGAAACAAAAAAAATGAAAAGAAAACTGGATTTGTTCTATTTCTCTTCTTTCGGGAGGTAAGAAGAGAACTGACTCGGTTTTTAGCATTTTTTTTCTAACCTCTACAGTTTTATTATATGTATAGATAGAATAAATAACGTATAATAAAGTAGTAATATATAATAATGAAAATAGTTATAGCGAGTGTACCTTAGGAGATAGACATATACTACGTAGAACTTTTCTATAGACCTTTTTAAGACTTACAATTTTCTTGCACAATGTTTTGATCTGTCTCTTAAGTTTGAGCCAACGTTAACCGTATAAATTTCTAAGGACGATTCGATAGAACCAGTTATTGTGTTTTCCCGTGGGAATGAATAATTTGCCTGTCGTAAAAGGTATCCTGAATGTTGACCCGAGTACTAAGTTTTATCACTATACAAAATTTTGTTAAAATCGGTTGAGTACTTTTTGCGTGAAACGCGCACTTCCATTTGACTAAGTTAGTTTTATTATACGTATAGATAAGAATAAATATTGCGAGTGTAACTTAGGAGATAGACATATACAATTCAGAACTTTTTTGTAGGACTTCAAGACCTACAATTTTTTTAGTATATACACAGTTATATTTTTTTTGTATATAAACAATATTGTTTATGTATGTCTTTAGGCTTAGCCAGCAGAAGGTTTCTAGGGAGGACCAGTTATTGTATTTTTCCGTGAGAAAGAAAGATTTTCTTGAAGTAAAAGGTATCTAGGCAGTGGTATCCCAGTGGTAACGCGCTCGCTTGGGAAACCGAGTGAAGAAAGTTCAAATCCCGGGTCTCGCACCTCTGATATTTTCATGTGGGAATCATTTCTAACACAATTACCACTTGTTTTAACGGTGAAGTAAAACATCGTGAGGAAACCTGCATATCTGAGAGAACCTAGCAAGTTTTCAAAAGACATGTGAAGTCCGCCAACCTGCACTTGGTCAGCGTGGTGGACTATCGCCTGATCCCCCTCGTATTGAAGGGAGCCCGTACCCAGCAGTGGGACGTTAAAAAGGGCTGAGTACATACATACATAAATACATACATACATACAAAAGGTATCCTTAATGTTGACTCGAGTAATAAGTTATCTCTTCACCAAATTTCGTTGAAATCGGTACATTACTTTTCGCGTGAAACGCTCACGCAAAAACAGACAAACAGACATACAGGCAAACAGACAAACAGACAATTTTTTTAATAACTATTGTTTTGGGGTCTATGTTGTGAACATAATACGTTACAAATAAACAAAAACATCTATCCCACGGGAAAAGTACATTTTTCCGAGATAAAAAGTAACCTATTTGTTATTCTGATGTATGAACTATATATATTATTGTAAAGTTTCATCAAAATCCAATCAGTAGTTTTTGTGTACTAAGCTGTATAAGTTACTATAGTTTTTTGACTATCCCACGGAAACTCTTTAATTTTCCGGGATGAAAAGTAGCTGATTTGTTTTTGTCATGTATGAACTATATTATTGTAAAGTTTAATTAAAATCCAATCAGTAGTTTTTGTGTACTAAGCTGTATAAGTTGTTATAGTTTTTTAACTATCCTACGGGAATTCTTTAATTTTTCGGGATGAAAAGTATTTAAAATGTTGCCTGGGGATATAAGGTACCACCATGCAAAATTTCGTTTAAATCGTTCCAATATATTCGGAGATTAGCCCGTACAAACAGAAAAACAGACAAACAGTTCGCTCGGGTTCGTCTATACCTACGAATATGTTGTATTATCTCTTTAACCATTTGTCCAAATTATTCGCTGTAAAAGGGAAAAGTCTTTTGTTTTAAACATTTTAGACGATAAATTTACTTATTTTAATAAGAATTCATAATTGTTGATAATATGACCAATAAACGTGACCTACCGATTTAAATTATTTTTTTAATATAAAAAACTACTTTTTGTGACTTAAATATAAAAGTTAGACATATGCTGTCGCTGACTTTTTTGTAGGCATTTTTAAGCTCTACAATTTTTCTCTAGGACATATATCTCTTATCGTTAAGGCAGCGTTCGTAAGAAACGTTTTCGTTCGACCGTTTTTTCTCCAACTTACTTTGCAAATCCGACTACCACGAAAAAGCCTTTTCATTTATCGGGTTAATATATAGCTTATGACACTCAGAAAGAACGTGGCTTTCTATTGGTAAAAGAATTTTGAAAATCGGTTTAGTAGATCCAGAGATTACCCCCTACAACGTCACAAACTCACAAACTCACAAGATCACAAACTTTACCTCTTTATAATATTAGTATAGATGTGCGTAGGCATAAACTATAAATATTATAAAAATAAAAACCCGGCTGCATAAAAGCTGACCGTTTTCATCTATTTAATTTGTTAGCTGTTATGCAGACGGGATTTTATTTTTATAATATATTTTTTTATTTACAGCTTTTTAGTTTTTGCCAATTAGACATTTGAAGTTATAATTAGCAATATTTTATCCTAAATTACTTTTAAACATATAAATTGTATATATTTTTGTGATCACCTTTTAAAAACCTTTATTTTGCTAATCCTTCACTCTGTTTTGACGTGAAAAAAGGACAAACAAACAAACAAACAAACAAACACACTTTCACATTTATAATATTAAAATATGGATATGGATTTAACACAATTAGTGCATAATTAGGTAATATTAATATTATTATACTTTATTACGAATTTTAGAGGTTTATCTTTCCCGAGGTGCTTACTTTCTTTGCAACTATACGACCGAGCAACCATTTCCTGGAGGGAATTTCTTATTCTTAATTAAAACAATCACAATGATATCTAGTTCAGCTTTTTGCTATTACCGCTTGCAACTATTTCGAAGGTGGGGTCCTTGATCTATTAGTGGTCTCAGGTGGTGAACCTTGCCATCTTTCAACTCAATTAGCTCTTTTAACTGTTGCAAAAAAACTTGTTTACATGATATAAAATAAAATCTGCAGATTGTAAGTTTTCAACTAGTAGAACTGACTTTTAAGGATAGTGAAATAGTAATAATGTAGTTATCATTTGAATTCATATTAAAAATCGTCACAAACTTTCCAGATAACATATATTTTTTTAAATACCTGAATATTTACTTGTATACTTGCAATAATCTGAAAATATTTTGGCACTAGTTTTTATTTGAGTTTATAAAAAATTCAATGCCACTCGCCGTATTCATAGGTGAGATGAACGGTGTTGCATTTGTTCCCCCGACAAACTATTCATTTTATTTGCATAACTCGTGCAGAGTGGCACCGGAATATTACCTAGAAACTACTTCACTTAAACTTTTGTTTGTGTTATTAAATTTTCGAATGCTATGCTAGTTTAAATTTTATAATTATCATTCTAGTTGTAGTAAAATAACAAGTTTTCAGCTAATTACTAGACTTGTTACTTTCCTTCTGGGTTAAATATCTATTATTTTCATATATTTTTTAAAGTATCAATTTGATATCATATCGGAAATAAAAAATATGATACATAAATATCATACAATATAAACGTTAAGCGCTACAAAAAGGAACAAAATTGTAAAGGTAATTTAATAAAAACAACTTTGTATAGCCATCCCTCCAAACGGTATTTAACGCTTTGAAGTTGTAACATTTTAAGCTAAATACTAACAGTTTATTCCTTTCCTATTTCAAATGTTAAAAATATGGTCTAATATTATTAAAAGCTTCTACCGCGGCAACCATTACATCTACAGAAGAAAAACTTACGTTTAGTTTAGAGCTTTCAGAATTTATCATAAAATGTTAAAGGCGTTTATTAAATCTGTATCGCAAAGAGTGAGACAAAAACGGGGTTACACAAAAACCGTCCGCTATTTCTAGCGACGACACAGATTATACAAAGTCGGGGATGCAAAAGGCTTACAAAGACTTACTATAGCTGCTTCGTGAGAGCACAGTAGGTACACTAGGATTAACATCAGTAAGAAACTATTATATAATGAAATGTTCGTCAGCTGCGGTTTTACAAGATATTATTACTAGACTAGCTTCTTTCTATGTCCTTGCCTGCATGTTTTTTTTGAAATTTAGATAGCCTATAGCCACCGAATTTAGAATCTTCAAGAACAAGACGGCAAACTGAATTAATCGTTGTACTTACTTAAAATAACACATATTATATTATAAACACAAAAGTACAATAGTAGAAACTTATTTACATAAATCTGACAATTAATTATTTAGTTTTGAGCACTTGTATTAATTTCTGGTTTGTAAATACAATTCTACAAAAACTATCCAGTGATACACCGATTCGTATATCGCGCCAGCTTGAGAAAAAGTAAAGTCAACTTGACAAAGACTCTTGACAGGTTGATGTAGTCACAGATTAATTATCGAATATCAAAATAGTGAATTTATCCTTATACGGCCTCTCCTGACATTCTGACGCCCTCGTCAAGCTGAATTGGAGCATCTTCGTCATTGCAATGGTTTCGAGTTTCAGCAATATCAACATACATATCATCTGCACATGAGTGAATCATTAACTTATCTGAGTGGTCTGCACCTAAGTTACAAGCAAAAAGTCATTGTCAATTTCAATGTTACAGAGTACAGTCTGCCATAAAGATAGATTGCACATTCAAAAGGTTAGATATATCAAACACAGGGTAAAGGGTTTACACAAAGTAACACATAATACATCAAGGTTTCAATTCGAGTTCTAGTATACACACAATACTAGACATAACACTTCAAGATCTAGTAAACACACTATACTAGACATAGCACTTCAAGGTCTAGTATACACATAAACTAGACATAACACATCAAGGTCTAGTATACACACAAACTAGACATAACACATCAAGGTCTAGTATACACACAAGACTAGACATAATACATCAAGGTCTAGTATACACACAAGACTAGACATAACACATCAAAGTCTAGTATACACACGATACTAGACATAACACATAAAGGTCTAGTATACACACAAGACTAGACATAACACATAAAGGTCTAGTATACACACAAGACTAGACATAACACATCAAAGTCTAGTATACACACGATACTAGACATAACACATAAAGGTCTAGTATACACACAAGACTAGACATAACACATCAAAGTCTAGTATACACACGATACTAGACATAACACATAAAGGTCTAGTATACACACAAGACTAGACATAACACATAAAGGTCTAGTATACACACAAGACTAGACATAACACATCAAAGTCTAGTATACACACGATACTAGACATAACACATAAAGGTCTAGTATACACACAAGACTAGACATAACACATCAAGGTCTAGTATACACACAAACTAGACATAACACATCAAGGTCTAGTATACACACAAGACTAGACATAACACATCAAAGTCTAGTATACACACGATACTAGACATAACACATAAAGGTCTAGTATACACACAAGACTAGACATAACACATCAAAGTCTAGTATACACACGATACTAGACATAACACATAAAGGTCTAGTATACACACAAGACTAGACATAACACATCAAGGTCTAGTATACACACAAGACTAGACATAATACATCAAGGTCTAGTATACACACAAGACTAGACATAACACATCAAAGTCTAGTATACACACGATACTAGACATAACACATAAAGGTCTAGTATACACACAAGACTAGACATAACACATAAAGGTCTAGTATACACACAAGACTAGACATAACACATGAAGGTCTAGTAGACACACAAGACTAGACATAACATATAAAGGTCTAGTATGCAAGGAAGCGTACGTTACTTACTGACAAAGAAAGCAGCACATTCATCAGGAGTCCCTTTCCACGCCATTGTGAGATACAGGGACGCTCATTTTAACTACAGCTGGTTTAATGAAGGTAGATACGTAATTAACTATATCACAGGGCATAAGTTTTCCATTTGTAGCCGATAATTTTATATGCGGATCTGTAATTCCACGTATGACGATTGCGCTTATAAGTTCCTCACTCAACCCTTTTACCATACGCAAACGCAGTAAGGATCGTCGAGCATATTCAGCAAAAGTAGGGTAAGCGTCCGAACTAGTACTCAGGACGTCGTACAAAATAGTAGCCATATCAATATTTTTTACACATAAGGATTTAAAATCTTTCTTAAAATTACTCCATGAACGATCCGCGGTAACCCAGTCATCTAGCCATGACTTAGCGTCACCCTTGAGGTAGTGACATATGCGCGACAATCATTCAACATCACTCCATTTATTAATACTTTGTGCGCGATCTACCTCATCGAACTAAGAATCAATATTATGCATATTGGGATCAAAATATGACGAGTAATAATCACGGGGACGACTAGTTTTTAAAGAATGTATAGCCTCAACAATCTGCTTAGTAGAATCACTAGTCGTAGTGCTTAATTCAACATTACAATTATTATCGGTTGACGCCGTCAGCGATGTCCTGTTTTCTAATGCATTTAACCAAGTAACAATAGATCGTAAAGATTCACGTAATTCCGAATTACATGAAATACTTCTAAATCGCAAAGTACGAGTAGAGCGAGTGCAAGATCTTCGGCGTCGTTTCGAAGTATTACGCTCCCTTGAACGGCTACGCGCACGCTTTCCTTTACCCATTATCACAATTACTTACACCGCAATATGAGCTTACACTTTTTCAATAAAAATGCGTAACTATAACCAGAAATTAACAAAAGGTGAAGTGGCCGGTCCCATTTCTGATATAAACACAAAAGTACAATAGTAGAAACTTATTTACATAAATCTGACAATTAATTATTTAGTTTTAAGCACTTGTATTAATTTCTGGTTTGTAAATACAATTCTACAAAAACTATCCAGTGATACACCGATTCGTATACCGCGCCAGCTCGAGAAAAAGTAAAGTCAACTTGACAAAGACTCTTGACAGGTTGATGTAGTCACAGATTAATTATCGAATATCAAAATAGTGAATTTATCCTTATAATATGATATAATATTTGTCAAAAATGTTTTTATTTCAAACTGTGGCTTTTGAATTATAGGGGATAAAACATAAAACCCACATTGGGATTTAAGCAGCCGTTCTCGATTCATGCCTATTTAGTTAAACACGAAAGAGCTGTTCTCTCATAATGGCGTAGCAAGATCGAAAATAATACAGCGCCGGGCCGTATTTAATCGCGCTAGCAAAGATATATGCTACGATTGAATTTTATTCAAATTTAATATACCACTATGGTATATATCATAGTATTTTATCATCTGTGGTAATATGGTGCTCAATGATTGAGCACCAAAATATGCAAATATATCTTTTTAGATAGCAAGTGTTACAAGTTAACTATTTTATTTATTGTGTTTATGTACTTGTAGTAATTATGTAAGTATATTTGTAATTTTCTTTATTGTAAAAAAAAGCTTCTATTGTAGTAAAATTTATGTATTGTAGTTAATATACAAGAATAAGTTTTAGTATTAATTTTGATATGATCAAGAGTCATGAACTTAAAAGATTTTATTGATCTTCTTATAATAATTATTATTACTCTATTCTTAGTACGGTATTTCCAAGTACAAGAGCCATTAAAATAATAGTTTCAATTTAGATAACGTTAAGAGGCTGCGATTACTATGCTTTTGTAGCGAGCCTTAAACATGTGTTTCAAACTTCGTATATATCTGTATGTATATCTAAAGAAAGTTTTATATATTGAACTCAAAACTTATACATATACATTATACTAGAAATAAAATTAATTACATAAATTAAAGCACATAATCAGTTTATCTATGTAATAAAAATATAAAAATTTGTTTCGTATGTCAAAAATGATCGTAAAAATTCTTTCAATAGTAGAACACTACAGTACATTTCTCTTTAGTAAGTAATAAAGGATATTTTTAGGAAACCTACAAAACCTATTTAGTTAAACCTAGCCTAAACATGTTTGGAGTGTTGTCTGTCCCACTGTTGGGCGAAGACCTCTCTTTTCTCCTTTCATACAACACGTGTCCCCCTAGTCCGAATTTTATTAGGGTAAATAAGGATATACATATGTACATTTACGGAGCACCAGAAGATTTCGTTAGCCAACATTCCATACAATAATAAATATAACAGGTTATACTGTAATATCAATTGACTGTCTCGGTGGTGTAGTGGTTAGCATGTACGGCTGCACACCCGGAGGTCCTGGGTTCGAGTCCCGGGTCGGGCCAAGTTTAGTTATTGACTGCCTCGGTGGTGTAGTGGTAAGCATGTACGGCTGCACACCCGGAAGTCCTGGGTTCAAGTCCCGGGTAGGGCCAAGTTTAGTTATTGGGTATTTCTGTATAGTCTGCGCGTACACTTGTGCACTATAATATCTCCTGCGCTGTTGGCTAGTCTCAATGAGATTGGCCGCCGTGGCCGGAATCCGTCAGGAGAACATCATCATCAATATCAGTCTTACTACATATTTAAAAATATAGGTATTCTTACGTAGAAAGTTCATAAAATCAATAGTTTTTTAAATAAAAAATTCGTATTCTAAGTAAATGGACGAAAATATAAACAAAATTTTACTCATATCGAATTTTAAGAGGTGTTTCATCTGACTCTCCCATATCATTTAATTATTTAGGCGTCGAATAAGCATTTGCCTCCCGCGTAGTCACGCATATCATTAAGCTTTTGAAGATAATTCTTCGTCTCATTAAACTTTTTCAATACCTTTTGTTATCAATCTAAAGTCAGAATATTTAAGACCCAAGTTCCAATTAATAGAATTCGCAGAATATGAAGCATTACGTTATTAGTGTATTGGCACGAACTCGTGTCCTCGAGCAATATACGTGTTTAAAAGATTAAAAATCTTTCAATAATTTTAAAGCCAAATTTTAAGATAACAATTTTATGTTACATTAACTTGTATATGTACACCTCACAATATCAAGTTACCTTGAATAGCTTAAGGGTTAAAAGCCTGAGTCTACACACAATTAACGCGATAAAGACATTTGAAGTCTTTTACAAACCCAAACCCTAAATAAAATTAATAACCAAACATTTGTAACGCGACCCCCGTTGCGTTTTACTTTACACTAAATTCTATCTGAAGGGGACCGATTTAAATCTTTAGATAGCGATACATCACTCTATCAAAGTGGCTATTTGGAAACCGGCTCTATTAGGAGAAGGATACAAATGTCTTCATTAAATACCGGCTTTTACATTTCCCAGCTTTTAAGGCGTGTAGTCTCTTCACTTTGTGCGCAAATTGACTGTTTATCGCGCGGCGAGGCGTTACGCAAACGCTTCATTCACGAGTAAATATAAAGCAAACGGCAAACGTGAACAATAAAACCCAGACAAAAACAAAATAATAAAATTTTTATATTTGTTACGGTTACTTTTATGATTGACTTAAAATAGCTTTAACTACGACATAGAGTAAGAAGCTAACTGCCTTCTAAAATACCTAATCTATACATATAATAAAATCGTAACTAAGCCGAATCTGTACATTGAATATTTTTTGGACAATCTTATTGAAATAAACATTATTATCGATACAGAGGCCGAATCTATAGTTTTTAGAATTTTTGTCTGTCTGTCCGTCTGTTACCGCATCACAGATAAACCACTGGAGGGATTTTGATGAAATTTTGTATGGTGATAGCTGGTTATCCGGGTCAACATATAGGATACTTTTTACCGCGGAAAAATATCTCATTTCTGAAAAAAAATACAAAAACTGTAATGTAATAGTATACCAATATGCAAAACCTAAGAATTTGGTATTCGGTCATCTGAACGCGGGCGGAGCCGCGGGCAATGCTAGTCATAAACTAAAATCTTGATTATTAAATGTTTCAAGTTCTATAAATTGCTCGCTCAAGTTCTGTTATACAGATGGGGCTGGGTTAGAGTGAACGACGGAAATGAAAGCAATAGTTCGTACTGTAGCACTCCATCGAGAGGCAGAAAATTACTAATCTCAATTGGCAATAAACAGATAAGTTAGATTGTTCTGATTAATAACTTGTATCCATCAGTATTTTTATAATTATGGTGCATACCCGCGTATTTGTACATCATTAAGAAATAGAGATTTTACAACAGCTCTTTATCAGACCTTTACAATGTCAGTGATTTTATTTCAAAAATGTATTAAAAAGTATTATAGAAGTATTGTTTGCTAAGAGTTCTATTATTATCTATCTTACGCATTTAAATAATATATTTTTATTATGATTTGTTTGGTATAAATCATAACTGTCGAATATTAAATACTCCTTCCTTCTAAAGTAAAATAATATCCACAAACCTATTATTCGTATTTATGTTATTTTAATTTTAAAATATTTATTTTCTTTCTTCTCTTTTTTGTTCTTTTTGTTAGATACGCTAGTATGTAGATTGTACATATGTGATTTAAACGCTTTTTGTTTATGATTTATTTACTTATTTTATTTGTTTTGTTGTAGAGGCCCTTTTAATATTTACAGAGTTTTCGCACAAAATTTCAACCCTTATCCCTGTTTTTCCGGGATATAAAATACTAAATCTGTATATAAATACACTGAGGCTCTTTAATTTAAATTAACGATTCAAAAATGCTTATATTAAGCCTAATTTAAGTTTGTTTCAATTCATATAATAAATAGGTTTAACATCTGTACCTACCTGTACCCAGGACAGTTTGTGACCTGTTATTTATGACTGGCGATACTAAAGACTTGAGCTCTTCAAGGGGAAAACAATATGTGCCCCCTGGCTTGCGTTCATTGGTCATTTATAGTGAAACCCAAGACTACTCTTACCTCTAAACTCTACTCTTTCTACTACTCTCTGCTCTAAAGCCTAGTTTATCAGCCCATCTCGACTCCATTCCATAGATATCTTCAGTTTTCAATATTTTCCATTTGTTTCATTTGTTCCATTGTTCCTACAAATTATCTGGTGACCATCTTTAGGCAGATCTCTGAGTTACTCGGAGATCTTTTCTGGACATATAATCTTTTCAAAAGACAATTACATATATACAAAGAATCATAAATATCACTATAGAAAAAATGGAAGTATATAAAGTTAAATAGTTATCGCTAAAATAATTATCTACATAATTGTAACTAAGCCGAATCTGTACATTAAATTTTTTTTGGAAAATCTCATTGAAATAAACATTATTATCGATACAGAGGCCGAATCTATAGTGTTTAGAATTTTTGTCTGTCTGTCTGTCTGTTACCTCATCGCAGAAAAACCACTGGAGGAATTTTGATGAAATTTGGTATGGTGATAGTTGGTTATCCGGGTCAACATAGGTATAGGAATCCTTTATACCGCCGGAAAATATCTCATTTCTGAGAAAAAATGCAAAAACTGCAATGTAAGAGTATACTAATCTGTAAAACCTAAGAATTTGGCTTTTGGTCATCTGAACGCGGGCGGAGCCGCGGGCAATGCTAGTGCATTAATAAATGTCTTTATTTTAGCGTTGACTTGAAAGTAGACTAGTACTCTATTTTTAGTTGCATTCCAGTATCAATCGATACTTCTTAGCACAATATGGCAGTAGCATAGTAATATATTTGTGTAAGTCATGCCCAGCCCTTTCATATAAAAAAACCCTTATAATGTCAGAAGTTTTTATCTATACCTATCTATAATTATCTATTCTAATATTATAAAGAGAAAAAAATGTTCTTTTGTATGTTTGTTTGTAATGGATAAACTCAAAATCCGCTAAACAGATTTAGATGAAATTTGGTATGAAGATAGTTTGATGACAGAAATCATCCCTTAAAGGGGTGAAAAGGGGATGAAAGATAGTATGGGGAATCAATCATTTTGTAAGTAAGAGATATAAAACTCATCGTGCCTAGCTATACATATTCTAATATTTATTCTATTCCATACTAACCGTTAAAACGTACCTAGGGACGAACTCGAGCGAAGCGAGGGTGAGTCGCTATTCTCTCATATGTTTATAAACCCAAATACTGTTAAGGTATTTTGTGTGTTTGTAAATTGTATCAACTAATCTTCAGCATGGTTGAATTAAATAAAAGTATTTATTCATATTTAAATTATATAGGTATGTAAGTATTCGTAGTTTTGCTTGATAACATTTTTCGTTGTAAATTAATAATTTTGCTTCAAGAAATTAAATTACGATTATACTAAACTACTTATAAAGACTCAACAGCGATACTTTTAAGAATCAGTTTATTTTATAATCGTTTTTTATTGCATCTTGGTTACCATACAAAGTCATTATTTTGTTAAAATATTACTTGTGTAATAGTTGTAGTATGTTGCCTGTAATTTACATCTTTGTTCGAATTGAGTAGACACTAGAAAACCATATAAACCAAGACTATGAACCAAAAAGGCATTGAGTGGAATCTTACGACACTTATTTGAGGGATGAGCCATCGAACAAGACGTAATGTTTGCCCTAAAACTTGATTTAACCTAAAACTTTGAATATCAACATTTAAGGTTTATCAGTATGATCTTATAATTTCAAGACTTCGTTAAAATCATATTTTTTATTGATTTTATAGTATCACCTTGATTTAATTGACCCACTTAAAAAAAAGAAAAATCATTGATGCTGTTCAAATCCCGAGTCTCAAGTCTCTGATATTAGATGTGCGAATCATTTCCAACACAATTATCATTTGTCTTACGGTGAAGGAAAACCTTGCAAGTTTTCCAAAGACGTGTAAAGTCCGCTAACCCGCACTTCACCAGCGTGGTGGACTATGGCCTGATTCCTCTCGTATGCCCAGAAGTAGGACGTTAAAAAGGGATAAATACATACATACATACATTCATACATACATACAAAAAAAGAGAAGTTTCTATGGGTAAGTATATATATAATATATTTGTGTATATGTTACACGATGTCTGCGCCGATTCTGGACTAATCTCTTTATTATAGATAGAGTATATCTTAAAGGTTATCCCATAATAATTTTAATAACAAATCCCCCGAGACTTGAATTATTCACCTATAAATCTTAAACATACCTATGTATATTGCTGTAAATTTTTAAACTTCAAGACAATGTAGCTATACAGACTAAATTATTTAATATTTTAGAAGGCCCTATGCACTTCAGTAACTAGTAAATATTAATTCTGTTACTGTAACTTTTGTTGTTCTTTATAGTTGCTGGAACACTTTACAAATGCACTAAACATCGCGCGCTATTAAGAAAGTGCAAAATGGAAAAGCTGTGGGAAAATGCACACAAAGGTGGGCGGTACTCTGGTGTAAAATAAAACTTCAAATAAATAAGATTTCTCAATATTAAAGTGAACTGAGCGACACCAAAAGAATAATTTCCGGACATCAATGGCACCGACTCAGGCTCGTAAATTACAAGGAAAGCTTCCCAGCTCATGACGAGACAAAATCGTGACCGAGCCGTAATACTGCGATGTGTTCTTCGTAACACTGTTTCACTCAACATATAAATTAGCTTATTACGTAAGAAGTTCTTTGTTTTGTCGGCGTCCCTGTAAATACAAAAGTCTTTTTTTTTTCGTGGATAAATTTTACAAATACGTAATAAAGTATTAATGATGGGTTAAATATAATTTACCAGCGATTCAACCTCGTTTCGCTTTCGCTTGGGTTCGTCCCTAGGTATATATATATATATATATATATATATATATATATATATATATATAATATACACATACATATATACACATACATATATATATATACATATATACACATACATAGTTATGATGATCCCTTAATTAAGAAATGATTAATTCCCCATACAAACTTTCATCCCCCCTTTCACCTCCTTAAGGGATAATTTCCAGGATAAAAACTATTATATGTCCTTCCAAGGGTCTTAAACTATTTTCGAACCAAATTTCATCTAAATCGGTTCAGCGGATTTTAAGTTTATCCATTACAAACGAACATACATTTTTTCTCGTTATAATATTTGTTAATAGATAAATAAATATATATTGGAGATACATTGTTTGGGTTTAACAATGGCAACGAAGTAGCATCTCAAACAAAAGCTTTTATCTATAACGTCCTGGCTATTTTCACGCGCACACGGTGACAATGAGTGGTGAGGTAGGTGAATTTAATTTTTCTTAATAAACATTATTATTATTTTACTAACATATACTCGTTGTATGCTAAGACTCATTTATATTGGTTTCGTTGATTTTACAATTAAGATGTCACATTTGCAGTAAATATGGTAATGTTAATGATATATTCTTTTCTAATATTAGTATATTATATTATTTGTAAAGTTGTAGAAAGCTTTGAACTACAAATGTATGGTGTAAGTATTTGAAATACACCATATTTAAACTAGGTCATGTTTTATCTCGATATGATACCCGAAAGTACTTCGTTGTTTTATGTCAACGGCAGGCTGCTCCAAAACCTTTTATTTTTTTGAACTGATCATTCTTTTTCATAGCATTTTTTCAATTTCAATTTTTTATTTCAATGTTAGTGTTTTATCACTTTTTTAAATGAATATAATATTTTTGTAGAAATAAAAAAAAGTCTTTATAGATAATTACTTATTAATAATAATAGTGATGAATAAATATAGAAAAAATAGGAAAAATATTATCACAAATACAGTGTTAAAGCGATCAGTGTAAAAGATAATTAACAATTATATTTCTCCCTCTTAAGCAAAAACATGTACCTATTTTAACTCAACACGTATTTATTTCATTCTTAAATCAATTTTTATTTTGTTATAATATGTATTTCGTGTATATTTTGTTATTATATTCAGTGGATTGAAACTATCTAAAATAATATAGGTAACACGAGTTCGTTCGCTCTACAATATACATATTTTAGAGTAGGATATGATGAAAATTTAACCTCAACTAAACTTCTGGCATAAATAACGACTGCACTCGTGAAAATCCTAATTTATTGTTGCATTATGTAAAATGCTTGCATTCCGCGTTCGTTTGAACCACACAAGTAAAATACGAGTATTTATTGAGCGACTGTCAGGCACGATTATTCAGCCTGTGCTCTGGCTGGCATAGTTACAGGTTCAATCTCTGCTTGAAGCCAACATATAAAATTGATTTTATTTTGTATTTATTAATCATAATCATAATTAAAAGTCTATCTAAGACCAGTTTACACCAGAAACTAGTAGAAATCGTAAAACGAAGAATTCCCCAATGAACATTGTAATTGAATGGAATAAAGAGAACACTTGTGCGCCCATAATTTTGCACTAAAATATTTCCTGTACTCATTGCTCGTCTCAGTAAGATTGGCCCCCGTGGCTGAATTAATATTTTCTAAAATAATATGGAACTTTCACCGACACGGCAAATATATGGAATGAGAAAGAGATCACCTCTTTATGCAAATGCAGTTATACAGACCACAAATTAAATGCGATCCATACGTTGATGACATTTTCTAGAATCATTATACATTTGAGACATGACCTCTTTATTTTATATTTACGAAGCCTTCTTTCATACTGCGATGTTCCGAATGGATAGTCTCGCATAAATGGATTTCGACATCATTTTAAACACGAATGCAACTGATGTATCACATGAATAACCTTTCTCTTGGTGGGCTGATGCATAAAACATATCGACTGCAAGCTACCTAGCTCGCTATCAAAATACTAAAATACACGTTACGTTCAGAAATATTTGTTATCCATTAAACAATTAATGTAAATCATAAATATGTATGTATGTAATTCTAATTAATCTATGTTATATAGCAGCGATTGG